ATCAAAATTGTTTGGGTGAAGCTTTATAGCTTTCTAGTGAAACTTTAAAGCAGTAAAGGTTTAGCAAAACTCTTAGTTGTCATCATCAAGTAAAATTCGAATGCTAATGCTACAAATGTGGTAAGCAATTTAGACCCTTACTTTTGTATAACTTTACTTAATAAATTACACAACTCCTTATTACTACTTCTCTCCTCTACACCTTCAGTTATACTCTCACATAAAAAAGATGCTTTCGATAAGGGTAAGTATAAGTAAAACGACAAAAACTATTTTTGTATTTAAAGTAGTACAGAATTTGTAGCGATCACATGACTTATAGGGTATAGGGGGTATGCGTTATAGCACATATGCAAAAAATTAAAAAATTCATAAATAAATAAAATAAATAAATACTGCAATCAATTGAAACATGCACTTTTTAATAAGAGCCTACCAATAATGCTATTATATTAATTTAAAGCAATCTTTTTTAAAAATTAATTTCTTAAATAGCTATAAAAAAGTAGTCATTATGAAAATATTTCTGATTTGTAACATCATGCTGCAGTGAAAAACATTTTAATTTACAATTGTAGACAAACGAAGTATCTAGTGATTTTGATACAATAGAAATTGAATGGATTCAATCCCAAGAATTATTTAAAACTTTTTGAAGATGATAAATAGTACAGTCTAATAACTCATCAAATTTATTAAGATATTCCAGCTATTCCAAATATATAAATATACAAACTTGATCACTGTTCTATTTATGTTCAATTATCTCCTTAACTATCCTAAATCCTTTTTCTCCGGTTCTGATAGACTCGGTCCCGGCGGCCTGATTGGTGGGGTGCCTTGCCATACACCGGTCTTCGTTCAGTTTTTGCTAGTTCTCCGGTAGCAATCTTTTACATAGCACCATTGAAGATCTGTGCTAACTCTCTACTCGGGTCTTGCCAAGCGGGTGTCCATCTTTCCGTTCCTAGGATTAACACGATCCGGAACATTTCATGTAACTCATACATTATACGAATACCCTATGATCTTCCAATCTTGTTGGTACCACCAAGGTTACAGAGATCCTATTCCAACCGATTGTCAAAAGACAATAGCTGTCGTACAAGTAGAATATTCGAAATTCGTCACTAGTGGGTTTCAAACCCCTACCTGGCCGACATATCGCTTGGGGTGTGACAACTTAACCACTTCACTAAGTCGCCACACCCACAATATAACTTATTATTATTATATAATATAAATTTATCATTATAATGATTATTAAAAAAATTACTAGAATTGACTCATTATCTTTATTATATAGCAATTTACTTTAGGTTGATTTAACATATTATTATTTCTTAAATTGTACCAAATGTATTGATATTTATTTTTAATTTTGAATCTATTATTTTTTAGAAATTGTTAGATAAAAAAGGTTTAAATTTGCAATTATATTTTCTTATATCAATTGTAGTATATCATTAATTATTAGTTAATTTATCTGATAAAT